AAGCAAGAAACAATCGGTTGTTGCTCGATCTTCAGCAGAAGCAGAATACAGGGCCATGTCACATGGAGTTTCTGAACTATTGTGGCTAAAATCATTGATGGAGGAACTAGGGGTTGAGCATGACAAGCCAATGATGTTGTACTGTGATAATCAGGCTGCCATCAACATTGCTTACAACCCAGTGCAGCATGATAGAACTAAGCATATTGAAGTCGATAGACACTTAATTCGAGAAAGGGTCTCTTCGGGTGAAGTATGTTTTCCTTTCATCACATCTGAAGGACAGTTAGCAGATTTCCTCACCAAGGGCATTCCCAAGGCAAAACTTCAGCATGATACTGGCAAGCTTGGCATGATTGACATCTATGCTCAACTTGAGGGGGAATGTAGAGAAGATGGGCCGAATGGCCCATAGGCTGTTTATCCTTTCTTACCGTTTATGTTCCTTTCTGTAATGGGCCTTATTCTGGGCCCATCCTTTCTATGTTATGATCTTTGTAATTTCTTGCCCAACTAAGGGCCTCCTTGTAATTATTCAAATTTAACTTAATAAAATAGTGTTAGGGTGTTAGAGAGAGAGAGTAAGGGGTTCGAAACTCTCATACTCTAAACCCTTATTGCCACCATCTCCTTCTTCACCTTCTACTCCAAAGAAGAAGTATTTTCTGCTTTTTTTTTTCGATTCCTTTGATTTCTGCATCTATTCTAAACAGTCCCACACTCTCAAGGACTGTTTTTTCTTCTCATACAGAAAGCCAAACCTCAGCCAAATCAAACAAAACCAGATTCCGGGGATCCCAAAAATCTGCATCAACAGAATGCCAAATCTGTATGCTTTATTTTTATTTTTTTTAAAAATCCCATAAAAACTATCACCCCTTCACAAACAATTTCTGAAAAAATGATATGTGGATACCTAAGATCTTTCTCTACCAAGCTGCAGAAAGATCTACTGTAAGGGTGGGTATCCATATGGCTATTGACATTATCATGATGTCTTGGTGATGTTAGAGATGTACATTATGAACTGTTGAGAGAATTCTAAGTTGTAATCTAATAACCAGTGATCATTTTGTGGAGGGGAGAGAAATGGAATATACTAAACATCAATTTATTTCCTAACCTTTATTAACTTACAATAATACCCTTAATAATGTGCAACCATATAATATAATATGCTTGCAGTCTCTCTTATGACAAAATGTAACGAATGTTATTGGTGTTGTCAGTATGGTCAACTAGTATCCTTGGTGCCACTGTGAAACCAGATAGGGCTTGGACCTTTTGAAACAAGCCATGTTTATATCACATGTTTTGATCATGCTTTCATATTGATTAGTGGGTAATGGTCCAAAAAATAGGAACAACTATTGTACAGGGTTGTTTGTACCTGTTACCGAGAGTAGGTGCCATATATGAAGTTTGTATAATTTACATAAAGCAGGGTGTTCAAAGTGCAAAGTAGGAAAGCTCCTGCAATTAGTTGCAGAAGAGATAGAAGCTATTCATCTCCTGACCTGGCAATATGCTACATCCTCAATCATAAAGTTGGTTTTTTTTACTCATACTGGCTTGAAGATATCTCCAAAATGTTGTCTATGGAGCAGGAAAATAACAAGATTAGGTTCCACGTACATGAAGCTTATGTGGATTTAGGACAAGGTCTGTTTGATCCTCTTACTAAATCATCCAAGGTTTAAAGTAATATGGGTGCAGAGAGCTTTCAATAAAAGGTGCATATGACTTTCAAAGGGGTCTCTTTTGTGGTTTTGCTTGTGGTTAAGATGGGAATATTATATTTTCAGTGGCCCAACTAGTGGGCTGATACAGGTGGGTTTCAGATAAACATGTGGTGTTCTTGCTCATGTCCTTTAAAAGATCAATCCAATGCTTCATCGACCTCTTTAACTCAAGTCAATACCCATTTGGGCACCTCTGGATTGTTGCTTATCCTTGCCTGTGCAAGTCAATACCCATTTGGGCACCTCTGGATTGTTTCTTATCCTTGCCTGTGATTGCTTTTGCTTCAATTTTCTTTTAAACCTCACATGTGATAGGCAAATACCACAAAGGGAAAAAGCCAGTAATGTTGGAAGCAGAGTGTTGGGCAGAACACTCTGAGGAGGGACCTTGGCAACTCCACAGGGGTTCAATCTAGCCTATGGAAGAAGATGGAATGGGCTTGTGGTGGACGCCATGTAGTTCTGATCTGGATGCAGTCTACTTCTGAGGGACCTTGGGGACTAAGATATTGGTTAAGAAGTGCAATCTTAGCTGCCAATCTGAACTGCTAGTTCAGAACTTCCGATTGATATACTGGTCTGTCAATAATTTGTCAGACAACTTGGCCAGAATGGAGATCCATATACCTGAATTAGACTGGAGATTTGCAGGGCCAGTTGTCAATGTGTAACTTTCTGTTCTTGTTTCTTGTACTTAATGCTCAGTTTGGAAGGAGTGCAAATACAAATATGTACAGTGCAAATACTGGTTTAGAAATACAAAACAAGGCTTTGTACTGTACATATTTGTATTTGCACTCCTTCCAAACTGAGCCTAAAAAAGGGGGTGCAACTTTGTGTCTTGTTCTTTCTTTGCAGGTAGTCAGCCTTTGGCTGTTTGTTACCACTATTCCCATTGCTCCCAGGGCTGTTGGGAGACAAAATGTTACTTCCTTTTTCCTTTATTCAATTAAATTCTGTTATTGATCCAAAAAGAAAAAAATGTGATGGGATGGGTGAAGGAAGAAGCATATTTAGTGGCCTTTGGATTTCAGGATACTAGCCATTTTCTAGCCAAGAGTTTGTGAGCTTCCTGTTTTTGACAATGGTGTATATCATTTATGGTTACCATACGCTATTTGTTGTTTCTTTTCTCATTAGCTTTATGTAGCAAGTACCCCCTTTGGATATTTATTCTTATCTTGTTTAAAAGTTAAACAGTGCTTAGATATGGTTCTTATTATTGTTGCTGTTTTGATGTGATTTAATCTTGACATGCACCCCTTTGAATGTGCAGCAAGCTGCTAGTTTTCTGTCTGAGTTGGATCAATCTCCATCACCATCGATGTTGGAGTCACTGCAACCTTGTCTCAATTCTATAGTCAAGCCAGAACTGCTGAAACATCAAGACAAGGATGTCAAACTTCTTGTGGCAACCTGCATTTGTGAGATAACCCGAATTACTGCACCTGTAGCTCCTTACAGTGATGATGTTCTAAGGGTAAACTTCTGTTACAAAGTTTAGCTATTATTAACAAGGATGTTCCAAGGGTGCACTCCTTGTACAAAGTTTAGCTGTATTAACAGGGATTCGTCCATGTTGTTATTCTATGGGTGTTCTGCATTTATTTTCAACCATTCTTTGATTTTGTGAATTCAGTTTCACCTAATTGGGCTTGATCTCTTCTGCAGGACATTTTCCACTTGATTGTAGGTATTTTTAATGGATTAGGTGATATCAATGGGCCATCATTTGGAAGGAGAGTTGTTATATTGGAGACTCTTGCAAGATATAGGTCATGTGTTGTGATGTTGGATCTTGAGTGTGATGATCTAGTGAATGAAATGTTCAGTACTTTTTTTTGTGTAGCCAGGTACATTTAGTTCTTTAGATATTCGTGGTGATTTTTTGAATGAGATATACTAGTGGTATGACCTGTACTGGTGAATTGGCCTTTGATTGCATAAAGAGAGAGAATTAAGTACTCCCTTGATCCCATGTGTTGGGTATCTTTTTCCTGATGTAAAAGCAGTTACACTGCCATGAGCATGGTGCTGGTATTCCTCTTTTATCAATTTGTGTAAGGCATGTAATATCAAGCATGCCTTTTGGTTTTGTACAATAGTTAGCAATATTCATAAATCTAATGATGATTTATTTGTTTTAAATTATTGGACCACCAATAACCGACTATTCCCTTTTTCTGAAAGCTCAAAGCTATGTCCTTAGTTATTTTCCAGAGTTATTAATGGGAAATATTGTTACAGATCCTGTTTTCTTTTCCTCCTTTTTTATGAATAACAATGGTTTTAGTAATGGAAAATAAATGCCTTATTGTCGACTATCATTTTTTTAAGGCAATGGTCAGGAGTCAGTTGTTGGAATGCTGAAGGTGGGAGGTGGGGTTTGATCTACACGAACTAGATCAGTTCTAATTAATAGTCTGAGCAAATCATTTAGACTGGTTAAAAGATTTGCTATACTTAAGCAGATAAACTTTATAGACAAGTGGGAAATTGGGTGTTCCTATACTAGGCCTGCATTTCCAGGATAGGCTAAAGAGTCATCATGGGGTGGGTAAGCCAGGTGGTATATCTATATTCTACTGTACTCTTTCTACCTTATTATTAATTTTATAGAAGTTTTTTTGGATTTGTTAGAAAAAGGGTGTGGTTTGATCCTAGGTCTATATTAAATTATTTGTCATCGTCCTAGGTCTATATTAAATTATTTGCCATCGTTGTTATCATCATCATTATCATTATAATCTGTGGAGATAAAGAGAGCTGAGGGCTATTTTTGTACTTTTACTCTTTCTTGTACATTAGATTGTTATGCACACTATCATATGCATGGTTCAAAGTATCGATACGGTACGAGTTTCGGCCGTATCGTATCGGCACTTAGAAACGGCTGAAACTCTACTTTTTTTAGTTTTTTTTTTTTCAAATTTTGGTTTTTTGGGAAGCTTTTAGCATGCTTTTTATTATTAAAAAAATTGGGGGTCGGACCGTATCATTTTCAAAAGATACGATACGATACGCCTGATACGGGGCGTATCGTATCGATACTTTGAACCATGATCATATGTATATTAAGGGCAGATTTGTCCTTTTATCTTCTTAATATAAATATCTTTTTCATGGGTGTCGACAGTCACTTTTGGCACACCCACCAAACTGCTGTTTTCTCTTTCTTGATCTGACTCTGACATGGTACCAGAGCAGATCACAATCTGATCTGCATAAAGCTCCTTTTGTACCTGTGTTTTCTTAGTCTTTTTGTGGTCTCCCTAACAGTATTTGGGAAACCTTCAAGTGCCCTTGAATATCTTTTCTAGGGCTGTTTCAATCTGATCTGTACAGACCAAATTTCTGGACTGTTGCGCTACCAGAACTGCTATTCTCCTCGGATCTCCTCTTAGGAACATCATATCGGCCTGAAACTTTAGATCTGGTGTCGCCCAGAGGAGTACTATTGATCTTTTTTTTTTTTTGTTTTGTTTGGATCGGATTTGATCTAGAAGGGTTTTGATCCATCTTTGGGTTCGACAGACTGATACAGTTTCCTTTTTTGGACATCGGCTGAAAGGAATTTCTTTCTACTCTCTGTTTTGAAGTCTATCTACTTCTTTGAAAGTTTGTACTGCTTTCTTCTTCCTCTTAATGGCATCAGAAAGAATGGATGTTCTTCCTATCATTTTCAATTGTGCGAACTATGCTTTGTGGAAGTTTAATTTTCAATTCAATGTTGAGGCAAAGGGAATTTGAGGATACTTGGATGGGTCTATAGTTAAACTAGATGATTCAGACATTAAGGCCCTTAATCAATGGAAGATTGATATTGCAAAAATTTCATCATGGACTTCGGATCAGTTGAAGTTGATATTGCAATTCCTATGAGGGGATACCACACTATATGTGAGATGTATCAGTACCTTGAGAAGGTATATCAACAATCAAACACTTCTAGATAGTACCAAATAGAAGTTGATATATTTTCATATCACCAAGGAGAGAGGAAAGGTCAAGAATACTTTGTAGGATTTATTAATCTCTAGACGAAGTATGAGCTAGTGCATATGGGAAAGGATCCTTCAGACTGCTGTGTGAAGTATATGAAAGCACATTTTGATAGAAGGAAGATTATGCATTTCTTAATGCATCTCGGACCTGAATTTGAAGTTGTCAGATCTAATATTCTTATTCGAGGGACTCTTCCTGATCTTGATACTATCCTCGGGGAAATCTTGAGAGAAACTAGGCTTCTTACACAAACTGCACTTGATGAAAGGAAGGATTCAAACATAGATGCTGTTTTCTTTGCAACAAAACCTAAGGGGAAGAAAGATTTTTCCCGAGTGCAGGTGGTGGGTCAAATCAAAAGAAAGGATCATATAAAGCTTATTAGACTTAAATAGAGAGTTCAGGTTCCTCCTCCTTTATTGCTTTAGTGGCTTCACAGAATGATAGTTCCGGTGGTATGTTTGAAGAAAGGATTCAGTAGCTCATGTCCTTGGTCATCTCTTCTGCCTTTTCTGCTACCGATTTCCAACCAACTTGGAGTGACTAATTTGATAGTTGAAGGAGACTCTAAGGTGATAGTGGGATGGATGTCGGACCCATAAATTGTTGTTTGGGGATATAGGAACATCATAAAAAAAGTCAAATGGCTTACAAGAACCATGTCAGTTAGCTTTCAGTGGGTTAGTAGATCGACAAATGCTTTGGCAGATTCTTTAGCTAAACAAGGGGCTTCAAGGGATTCTCTGTT